TGAAGTCCACAAGTCTTAAAGTTGCCAAGGTTGGACACCCCTGCCCTACACCTAGTATGACTTAAAGAAACTCGATTTGCTCCCTCCGGAGAGACCCTTCCCCCTCAGCGAGGTGCCAAAGAGGGATTGGGTGCAGGAATGATCACAACTTCTCCTTGGCTTCCAGAGCATCGTTGGCCACTGCTGCCCACCCCACGAAGACGGTGGCATCGTGCACTGCGCTCTGAAGGCCCCCCAGTTCCTCGTTTCTGACCGGGAGTTTCCTGGCTCCACCAGACTCCTCTTGAAGGTACGAAGGGATTTGTCACGCCGGGAAACAACAAGAGACTCTTCTCTGCCTTCGATGCTCCTGAGAATTTTATACAGGTAGTCCTTGACTTACAATAGTTCATGGAGTGACCGTTCTAAGTTATGACGGCACTGAAAAAAAGGACTTGTCGCCATTTTTCACGCTTACGACTGTTGCAGCATCCCCCTGGCCACATGTTTTACATACAGATACTTGGCTGCTGACTCACTTTTATGGTGGTGGCAGTGTCCTCGGGTTGCGTGATCCCCTTTTGCGACCTTCTGACAAGCTAAGTCCATGGGGAAGCCAGACTCACTTAACGACCATGTGACTAGCTTAACAGCTGCAGTGAGTCGCTTAACAACTGTGGGCAAAAAGGTCGTAAAATGGGGCAAAACTCATTTAACCAATATCTTGCCTTAGGGATATACATACATCTTGGGCTCAATTGTGGTTGTAAGTCGAGGACTACCTGTGTAAGCAGGGAGGAAAACTCCCGCAGGACAGTTGTAAAGTTTGTTGAATTTCTTCTCTTTTGATGGATTATTTTTCATTAGAAAGAACCCAATCCTAGTTTCAGAAGTGGTGGTGGTATGTTGTATGGAATTGAGGGTCTTTCTTTCTTAAGGGATCAAACTGGGGCAGAACTGACACCGATTCGCTTAACATGCATGTTACTATTTTTTTTAAAATAAATTTTATTGATTTTACAATTAAAATAAACCAACAACACATATATAAATGAAAGAGAGAAAAAGAAGAGAGGGAGAAGAAAATAGAAAGAAAAAAATAGAAAACAATTAAAAACATTCTCATCTTCAACAGTTTGTAAGACCTCTTTTTTATCCTTATTTTATGCCATATACACACACCTAATCCTTACATATATCTGTGTATCACTACTATGGATTTATCCTATCCTCTTTTGCCTTTTAATGTGAAGTCTATCTTTGGTCTATTCATTTGTACCAGCAGTTCCAGCTGTTGTAGTATATTGAAGTGTCTTTATTTTTTAATGCCAAAGTTAATTTTTGTCCATTTCTGCACAACTTGAAATTTTTTGAATGATCATCTCCTCTGATGGAACATGAGGCTGCTTCCAACATTGTGCAAAAGCCAATCTGGCCACTGTCAAAATGTGTATTATTATATATTTCACTTTTTTTGATATTTGTTTATCAAAGATCCCTAACAGAAAGGACTCTGGTTTGAATTCAATCTGTTCTCTTGTAATTTCTTCCAGCCAATTTCTAATTTTCTGCCAATATTTTTGGGCTTCTGTACAGGACCACCACATACGGAAAAAAGTTCCCTCTTTTTTTTTGCATTTCCAGCAATTCCGACTCATATTGGGGTGCATCTTCACTAATCTTGAAGGAGGAAGGTGCCATCTATAAAACATTTTATAGGCGTTTTCTTTGTATGCTACCGATTTTGTAATTTTATTATTTCTACCCCAGACCTTTTCCCATTCTGTTATGGTGATGCTACGTCCTATATTCCTACTCTAGGCTATCATGTTCCCTTTTACAATTTCTTCTTCTAATTCTACTTCTAATAAATAATTATACAATTTTGTTATATTTTTTTTGCCTGATCCTAATAACATTTTATCTAATTGCTGGAGTTTATTGTTAATTCCAAATTCTTTCTTGTCCTGTTTATATCTACTTTGGATTTGAAGATATGCCCACTGATCAATTTTTAGTCCCCGGCTCTTGAAGTTCTTGCCGCGATTTCAAATTTCCTTGTGTATCCAATAGGTCCTTATATTTAATCATTTTAGTGATATCCAGATTATTTGGGTGAATCAACGCCTCCATTGTTGAAATCCAAATTGGTATTTTTAAATAGTGTTTTTTCCGTATTTTCTTCCAATTAGTTAATAATGAGTCTCTGATTAGGTGTCTGTGAAAATATTTCTGGCTAGTTTCCCCTACATCTCATAAAAAGTCATGCCACCCCCTCTGCAAGTCATGGCCTTCTAAGAATAATATTCTCTTATTGGTTAAATTCACCCATTCCTTCAACCATACTAAAGAGGCTATAATACAACTCTCAATTTGGAAGTGCCAGCCCTCCCCTGCTCTTCATATCCTGCATTGCCTTTAAATTTATTCTAGGTTTTTTCCCTTGCCAGATAAATTTTACAGTTATTTTATTAAGTTCTTCAAAAAAAATTGTGTGTACTTTGATTGGGATCGTCTGAAATATATATAGAAATTTTGGAAGAATATTCATTTTAATAGCAGCAATCCTGCCTAATAATGAAAGTTGCAGCTTGCCCCATGTTTCTTTACCTGTTGCATCAATTTATCATAATTGTTTTCCTTAAGTGTCTTACAATGTGCTGTCAACCATATTCCTAAGTATTTAACTTTATCACTTGTATTCCCATAACTTCTTCTAGTTCTATTTTCTGTTTTTCTGTTAAATTTTTAGTCATTAATTTTGTTTTCTTCCTATTAATTTTAAGTCTTGCTACTGCTCCAAATTGTTCTAATTCATTCATCAATTTTTGTCCTCTTTCTATTGGTTCCTCAATGAAAAAAATCATATCATCTGCAAACGCTTGCAACTTATATTCTTCTTTCTTAACCTTTAATCCTTTTATGTCTGGGTTCTGTCTAATTCGCATTAGTAATGCTTCTAATGATAATATGAAGAGCAGGGGTGAGAGTGGGCAGCCCTGTCTGACTCCTTTTTCATGCATGTTACTAATTTAACAATTGCAGTGATTCACTTAAACAAATATGGCAAGAAAAGTCGTAAAACGGGGCAAAACTCACAACAAATGTCTCGCCAAGAGACATAAATTCTGGCCTCAATTCTGGTCATAACTCGAGAACAACCTGTAGTCACTGTGCTTGTAAATCGAGTCATCACCTGACCGGATGCCATTTTATGACCATTCTTACCATTGTCATTAAATCAATCACAGAGTAATCATTCTAATCCGGTTTATCCAATGATGGGAAAAACGTCAGAAGAGTTGCAAAATGCAATTGTGTGACCGCGGGACGGTGCAACAACTGGTTGTAAATGCCAACCGGCTGAAGAAACAGCAAAGCAAAAAATTGAATTTCGACCAGAACTGTTCCTGCTAGGCATAATTAAGGGAGAATATAGCAAGACTGACAGATATATTATTGTACATATAACTGCTGCTAGGGTTATATATGCACAGCACTGGAAACAGGGAGATATACCACAAGAGGGAGCAGTGATAAGGAAAATACTAGACTGCGCAGAAATGGACAGGCTGACTTTAGAGTTAAAAGATAGAGAGGAATCGATGTATTATTCAGTCGGGCGCCTGGTGTGTATGGTTTGAGAATAGACAGAAAAGTAATACTGTAATTAATTAAAGAATATGAAGCTATATGTACTGAATGTAGAATTAACAGAAAATGTACTATTTAACCAGTGGTATAAGCAAGAAGTAAGAAACAGAGAATTAATAGAAAAAGTAATATGTAATAATTGCAATGTAATAGAAAATTAAATCTAAGAATATGGTTAAGAAATGTAAATGATGTCTTCAATGTTGATGCAATTGTTTTTTTAATGTTTTTAAATTGTTGGGAAAACTGAATAAAGTCTATTAAAAATGCGCAGAAATGATCAGATTAACTATGGTATTAAAAAATAAGGAAGAAGGTGATTTTTTAAAAAATATGGAATATATGGTATAATTGGCTAAAAAAAAGGAACTAAAGATGTTTAGTGAAAACAACCAAAGAAACCCTAAAGAAGAATTGGATATATGACATATTGTGCATGTAAATGTATATATATGTAAAATACTGCAAATATATAAATACGGTAATTTAATAATAACATAAATAAGTAAGGACTTAGTAAACAAGCGATAGATTTATTGGTAGTAAATGAATCGAATTGTCACTGAAGAATATGCATACTGTTATAACAATAACTGTAAAATGTGAGAACTTGTTTCTCTTTTTAAAATTTTCTTGAAATCTTGAATAAACTCTTAAGTGAGTACTCATGTCAAGATCTCCCTGTATCATGAGTGTGAAATCTTCCATTTCCAGGATCCTGGCTACTTTTTTCCCCGTTTCTTTTCCAGCGATCCACCTTCTGCCCCATCAAGCATTTGACTGCAGAGCAAAGGGCTTCCCTCCCCACAGAGACTCGGCACCAGGGGGTGGATGTCGGGGTGGCCGTTCTCCTGGAGTCCGCAAACCAAAAAGTTTTGTTGACCCGTCGGGCGAGGATGCTAAGTCTCTTCCCCAATACTTGGGTGCCTCCTGGTAAGAACCAAAGTGTGTGTGTGGGGGGGATCGGGTGCAAGAGGATGGGAAGGCCTAGTGGTGGATTAAGGCTCACTGGTGCCCTAAGCACTGACAAATCTTGGTGCCCCTGGTGTCGTAAGCATGTGCTTAGTCTACTTCATGGTTAATACACCACTGGGAAGGCCGCAGAGGCCCCTGTAACCCCAAGGATAGCAATAGCCCTTAGACTTATACCCCGCTTCACAGTGCCTTCATTCACAGCCCTCTCTAAGCGGTTTACAGAGTCAGCCTCTTGCCCCCACCAATCTAGGTCCTCATTTTACCCGACTTGAGCCTGATCAGGATCAAAGGAATCAAACTCCTGGCAGTGAGCAGAGTTAGCTTGCAATGCTGCATTCTAACCACTGTGCCACCACGGCTCTTAGGACGCCTTTGGCTTAGAAAAGCGCTCCAGCCTCTCTAATCTTCAAGCTTAAGATTTTCTTTTGGTAGAAAAGTTGTGTTGCTCACTGTAAGTAAGCAGATCCTGAAGTCAGATAACTGAAGAGCCCGTTAGCTGAAAGATTAAGTGGTTAATCAGAATAGAGCTGGAAGGGACCTTGGAGGTCATCTAGTCCAACCCCCTGCCCAAGGAGGAGACCCTATGTCATTTCAGACAGGTGGCTATCCAATCTCTTCTTCAAAACCTCCAGTGTTGGATCACCCAAAACTTCTGGTGGCAAAATTTTCTGTCTTCTCTGTTAGGAAGTTTCTCCTTAGTTCTAGGTTGTTTCTCTAACACATGGTTGTTAAATGAATCTGGCTTCCCCTATTGACTTTGCTGGGCAGAAGTTTCCAAAAAGGGACCAGGTGATCCAGGGACACTGTGACCGTCATAAATATGAACCAGTTGCCAAACTGACTTATCAGCTGCAGTGATTCAACTAGAACAGAATATCTTTATTGTCATTGCATTCCACGAATACAATGAAATTTGAAAGCTACTCCAGCACAGTGCCCCAAACACCACATCACACTCACATTACAGAATATTTAAAAATTAAAATAATTATAACAATAATAATTAAAAACCTAAACTAAAACCTATCTAAACCATTCAGTAAGTTAAATAGTTTAAAAATGCCACTATACAACTGAGGCCCGAAAGGTCGTAAAATGGGGCAAAACCCACTTAACCGATGGCTCACTTAACAACAGAAATTTGGGATCAGTTGTGGTCATAAGTTGAGGACTACCTTTACTGAATCTAAGTTTTCAGAAGCAGCCAGAAACTGGCTTTTTTTTTTCGCCTTGCAGGTGGCCATATTGAACCAGAAGAAGAGGTAAGGCCTTTTTTAAAATCCAAACCAAAAAGGGAGAATCCAGAGAGAACCATCCAAGGGCAGAAATAGGGAGCTTTTGGGGGGAAATGTTAAGAGTTTGCAGAAATCCAAGCAGCACACGCATAAATAAATCAGCAGGATTCATTTATAGAAGCGACCTGTTTATATACAATATAATATAAAACATGATGCATGTATACAATACCCATCCAGCTCTTGCAATGTGGCAGCAAGGTCAAGGACAA